GACATAAATGGTTCGTCTACATACTAAAGACATTTTATAAATTGCATTTTCAGTTAGTTTCCCCACTCGTCTCCTACCTAAAGTTCATCCCAGTTCAACCAAAAGTCCCAGAATTTTTGTGACGTGACTTTTGGTTGCAGGTTGGTCAAACTTAGCTTTCCTGTTGGGCCAAAGGGGGCAGAATTTTCTGTTTTTTACAGAATGCTTTTAGTGTAAATGCTTTATTTTTGGTTACTTTTTTTTCAGTAAATTATATAGATTAATGAAAAATCGCAATTTGAAGCTCAGATTTCCTGAGATTTTCCTTCAGATTTCCGTTTTTACAGTTTCTGGCTCAGATAAATGACCTTGGCAATTTTTTAAATGATTCATGCAGGTTTTGGTTCATCCAAACGATGAACTGACACTGGAGGGTAACCGTATATGTAAAACCCAGAAACTTTCTTGTCTTTTCATTTAAATAACCGTAAAGGCAAGTTAGCTGAGTGGCTGAGCTCCTGCACCGTATCCTACAACTCTTTACTCAATCAAATAATGTATTTATCCATGAAGCAAATGTCAGCGTTGAGCAAATGGCAACTTGGTGAAGATTGACTCTACAAATTAGCACCAGCATGAAAAACACTGGAACAAAGATACTGAGCAGAGTGGTGCTAACGCAGTTTTTTAATTCAATCTACTGGGAGTGTAATCCTGCAAAAACGTGGGCGTCAGAATAATGACTTTATAATGACTCCCTTTCAAAATAAATTCACAACAGAGTTTCTTGGACGACCACAGAAGTCTGCAGGTCAGAAAAACTTGAGCTTTGAACCCACATGAACTTTGTCTTCGGGGAGCTGCAGCTTGCACAGAGACGTGAAAAGCATTTGCAAGTTGCACAAGCTTTTGTTCATGTTAAAAAAGCAAATGTTAGCAGAGACTTACTCAGTCCGTCCCGGTTGTATTCACAGACTGTATAAAAGATGGACGTAGCTGCCATGACGTCACCCGTTGGTTTCTGCACTGAGAACATGAAGCCAGGGTTTTGCTACTTCCTGGTTGACATCTTGGATTTTTGGAGCCAGTGACGCAAAGATCGGCAGAGGGGGGCGGAGCCATAGGAGCAGCGATTGGTCAGACGGATTGAGAGGCGGGTCCTCTCTGCCCCGCCCACATTTACCGCCTTCTGCTCGCTTCGTCTGCATCGTCGCTGCCGACTGTCAATCAAGCCAGCCACGCCCCTTGCCCCGCAAAATGGTGACGATTTTTTAAAAATTCAGTATTGATTTATTTTCAGATTGACCACCTGATCTCTGGATTTGACCATGAAAACTAATAAGAAACAAATCCTGAGCTGTAGGAATGCAGTATTTGGTGATCTGTGATCACTTCTTTTCCAGTTCCAGTCTATGGGAACCAGGACTTTGTGGAGCCAGCAGCTAGTGGACGTAGTGATACTGCAGGTTTCTGACACTTCCGGGTTGGCTTCATTTTTCAGGGCCGGTTGCTACGTCCATCTTTTATACAGTCTATGGGGTGAACCACCTTGCGTGACTGTCGTAGCAGAACGCCATTCCCACTTTTTCTGATGCACTTTGCTGTCATTCCAGAACCTGTTTGATTCGCACCAGCTGATGGAAACTCAGCAGATTTGCATTGAAACGCTGACAGCTGTATGGAAACATGCCGGCTGATGATGGGAGATGACAGAGCGACAAACAGAACAGCGGCAAAAGAAAAGCTGCCAAATATAAACAATAAACGTGTCCTCATTTTTTTTATTTTTTAAAAGCGAACTTCTCTATAAATATTGATAAAGGCTGGTTACGTGTGCTGGATGTTGTCGGCGCGCGTTTGTGTGCATAAGCAACGCCGTAGTCGTCGTATCAATATTTCATCGAATCAGAAATGTTAATTAGCAGAGATGAAGGGATTCTGCTTGTTTTGGTGTCACGCTAATATCGTATGCACACACCCCTGCAGTCACAGCTCATGCGAGGAGGTATACGTACATGCAGCGGCGGCGGCGGCGTGTTTTCATTATGGAAATGTATTTTTTCCGACGCGGAACATGTGTGCGATGATGTTTGCGCACAGGGGATGGGAGGCGTTGTACTGATTTTGAAAAACTAGATCAGGGGCATTGACACACACACACACACACACACTCTGGCCCACCGCTGTGAGCCACTTCTCTGGTCTTAAAATTGCAGATCTGATATTGAATATTGATAGATCCCCCACAGCCCCCCACGCTCCCCCTGCCTGTTTATAGCTCTGTTCTAATGAGATCACTTTGATTTCTTTTATTTCTAATGAGATCACGGAACAACGAGGGGGCGATAAAGGCTAATTATCTCAGTATTGATTAATTTATAACAGCTATTTTCATTTCTGTAAGAAGGGGTGGGAGGGAAAAAAAAAGTGTTTTCCTCGTTTTCACCCATCGCTGGAGGTTGTTTTTCGAATAGAACACAAGATTTTTTAATAATTTTTTTTTTTCCCTCAGATTTTTTCAAATTCTGTTCCCAGTTGATGTAAGTCTTGCTCGAAGAGGCATAATCAAAGCGTTACCGTATAGTTCTTGCAGACTGCAGTTTAGACTCCATGTGTTCTTATGGAGGCTGGAGGAAGGTGGTGCGAACGCATTTAACTCAAAACGAGGGAGAAATTGTCGACAAGTTTGAAAGTTTTGGGCCAAACTATGATATTAACAAGACACGGGTCCATCATTTCAGTGCCTCCAGCTCGTTGGGCGGCCTTGCGTTGCATTCTGTTAGCGCCGCGATGCATTTCGGAAGACGTCACCTACTTTCTACGAATCAGGGGCGTCCGACTCAACGGCTCCTGGAAACTCGTAAAACTCTCCAACTAGCTGTAATGAAGACAGATTCAGTAGCTGCATCTCTTATTTCTTCCCTCAGATGTTGCCACAAACACTTTGTGCTGTTTTGTCGAACGAGCTGCCGTGTTGTTTCAGGTTTAAAGCCGTCAGCCATCGTCCAATCAGGTGCGGCTGAATGGTTGTAGGAGCAGGTAGTCTGCATTGGTTTCCTGCATCCGTCAATCTTTTGTGGCACTACGTAGGTGTACGCCCATGATACTGGGAAGCGACCTTTTACATCCAAAGGCGCCCCTGTTTGTCAAGTACCATAGGAGTTTAATGCCTTTGTAGAACTTTTGGTGCAACTATAACATGCTCACAAGTCAGACTTGGTGTCAGTAGATACGCAATTTTGAAGGACTTGGGATCAAAAACTGTGATTAAAACAGACCACCACTGCTGAAAATCAAGTTTTTTACCTTGTTAACATGTCTATATGGTGTTTTGGATAAGCTAGAAGATACATAATGAGCTAATTAAACTGTCAACACCATTGATGAGCCTTTTGTTGATGATGATGATGATTGTCTCCAAAACCTGGATTCAGACGATGGGAGTTTCATACATAACAAAATCAAAAAACCAATCCTGCCAACTTGTGGAACAGCTGACTTCGTCCCGACAGTTTAACAGTGTTTGAGCAGAGTAGGCAGGTGAGCTGGTGTGCTGGAGCTGCAGCGAATGTGGCGGGACATTCATAGATCTGCACATTTTAGTGGAAGCAATGGTGTGGAGTTACACCCAAGTCATTTTAAGGCAGGAAGCGATCCCAGAGACGAGCTTTTAGGGGTTTAATCAACGGAAAATACAACAAAACGAAGTGCATCGCCTCGTAAAAACACACCAAGTGCAAATAAGCCACATCGATATATCCCCGTCTCCTTAACTTTTGGCTAAATTACTGATTGTGTTTGCCTTCAATTATATCTGCTTCGGAAACTTTATTATCTCGCACCTCACGACTCTGCAGTTAAACGCTGCCATTAGACTACAAAAGCCCGAGCGAGTCCTTATTCTCCGGCTTCCTTTTGTAGTCGACAAGCAGCCGAAGTCGAAAAGACGAGAAGTTTCTCTTTTGTTTTGACGAGGTCTAAACTGACGTCTCGGGAGACGGCGGCAACAAAGAGGCAGACACACAAAAAAAAAAACCCTAAAAAAAAAAGAAGTAAGCATTAAGTGATTTCATGAATAAAGCGGTGACGTTCGCCCATTTCAAATACTTCAAAACAAATTAAAATGGTTGTGTGTCAAAGCATATGTCTAATTAGGGAAGTGCGTTAGTGTGTGCGGACGGTGCTCGGGGCTAGCGCAGAAGGCTAATGCGGCGGAAAATGTGTCTTAGCTGGGCCATGAAATAATGATGAGACACTGTGACTTAATCATGTTGACACATTGAGCTTCTCCTCTTCATCTGCCCCTCGCTGCCTCTCCGCTCTGCTTTTCTTGTCTTTCCTCCTCACACTCGTCCTCCCCTGCTGCTCTCTTCACGTCTCCGATACACTGTGACGGCGTCTGTCTCGCGCCGGCTTCTTTGAACGCCGCCTGATAACTTAATTAGTATTATATTGTTAACAAAAAAAACCAAAACCTAAAGCGGCTCATAAAGGCTCGTGTTTTCAAACGGAAAGTTCAAAACCTCATTGAAGTGATTCGAAAAGGCAGTTTTGAAAAACAAAGCGTGGAATATAGTTATAATTATAAGAGCTTTAAAGGCTGTTTTTACTTCTACTTGCAGGCCTCTCTGTAGGTGGTGATGATATGGGATGTTTGGACGGGTCTCGTCTTTCGGTTCAACACAATAAAGCCCATTTAAACGGATGCTCGTTGCTTCTCGGGGCTTGTTTGCCATCGAGGCTCAGAGACGGACTTGTCATCTCAAGCAAGCCTGGAGTATTAAAAGCCACTAGCTGTTACCGTCAGCAACCGCCGCTGTCACCAAAATCAATCCGGTCTGAAATCCTAATGATCGCAGCCTTTGCAGCCGCATCCATTAGCTTGTTTATCTCCTGCTGGCTGTCTTTTTGTCTGGCAGCTTTCTCTTAACACACTCCAGATCAAACGCTCGTCTACGTCTTCCTCCCGCGAGGTGTCATCTGTGAACTAATGCCTGTTTTTTTTGCTCTTTCTCCGCAAGGTGGCTGCACGTTTGAGGAGTCGTACAGCAGCTGTGGATACAGCGTTTCTCTGGGAACCAACGGGTTTACCTGGGAACAGGTCAACTCCTGGGAGAAGCCCACCATGGACCCGGCGCTGCCGACTGGTAGGGCTCCACAGATGATCCTGTGTTTCCTTTTCATGCTTTTGGTATCTTTTCTGGTCTCTACAAATTTGGGTTCATATGCATTAAACTGACATTTAGTTTAAAAATTAGAGTAATCTGACATGTTTAAAGTCGTATGAAAGCGCCACGACAACAGAGAAAAGGGGAAGAAGGCCTTTCAGACTCAAGTTTTGTCTTCTCTTGTTGGTTTTCTGATCAGGTTCATACGGTGGCCCAGAAGTGTCACAACAAAACAACAGCCACAACACTACAAAATTAACCACAACACAACACAATTAGCTGCAACACTACAAAATAGGCCGCAACACAACACAACGGCTGCAACAGAAGTTGCTTTTTTTAACCGGGAAGTTATGCTGTAAAGTGCACAACGCCACACAAAGTGGGCAGAAGCCGGAGATTGTTGGAAACAACTTTATTTGTAAATCAAAGTTAACAACCGCTTTAATAGCGCATACCGAGATTCATGGACACTATTTGCCATCAGTATTTTACTTACTTCTCGAGTTGTTTCCAACAATCTCCGGCTTCTGCCCACTTCGTGTGGCGTTGTGCACTTCACAGTATAACTTCCGTTGCAGCCGCTGTCTTGTGTTGCGGCCTATTTTGTAGTGTTATGGCTAATTGTGTTGTGGTTGAGTTTGTAGCGTTGTGGCTTATTGTGTTGTGTTGTGACTTTTGTTTTGTTGTGACACTTCTAGGCCACCGTAGGTTCAGGCACCTACATGGGTAGTTTTAGGAAAACATGAGGCTCTGTTTGGTGATTTTACAATCTTGGTTAAGTTGGAAAAACATCATGGCTTGAGTTAAAATGCGACCCTTTTACCACCTGTTTGAAGCCACGCCTCCATTTTTTGGAGACAAATCCCACCAAATCCAACATCTGTTGGTTGGTTGCTCTAGAAGAGAAGGACAGTGAAGCCATAAACTAAATAGCAAAGGTATGTGGGATGTATTTCAATCCTACAGAAGACGCATTTCCATCAGAACATCATTGATAAAGGAGTGTCATTTTGAAGGGATTGGGTTGTTCTAGGCGACGCTAACAAGCTCCGTTTGACATCTTAGCTCTGGCTGAAACGCTCTTAACGACTTCTGTTTCAGTTCTGATTTTGTCGTCAGAACCAATCAGGTGGTTTGTTCCAGACAGGCTCAGCAGTTGTTGACATTAGGAAGATAAAAAAAAATCAAGCACCGTGTGGTCATAAATTATCCCAATTTGTCCAGTCGCTGCCCATGTTTCTCATTAGCGCTACTTTGAAGGTTTTAATGACGGGAATCAGGACATCGTATGACAGGAGGAATAATAACCAGATCTAATTTGTCCTCTTTTTGGCCTTTATTTTCAAAATGTCTGCATGAATCAGGAAGACAATCGGGTCGGTTTGGTTTTTATTGGATCTTCTTTGGTGCAGAAACATTCATGTTCCTGGGCTCATTTGGGCTGCACACATGTAAAAGCTGTTGTTTCCAAATAAGGGAGCAGACATCAGTGTGTTTAGTTTGTCCAGTTTTATGTGAGGAAACGGTTCCAGGCATTTATTGTGTTTATTAGACACTAAGAGTTGTTTATAATGTCATCAATGTGATCGATTGGTTGATTGATCGTCGATACGTGAGGCTCTCATTGGTCAGACAATCACCGATGTTACTGAGCATCACTGACAAAAGCTCTACGACAAGAGACTTTAAGATTAATCCAATATTTTTAACAATTTGATGCAACAAACTACCTGTGATCACACCAACTTCATCCAACCCAACGTAGGCAGCGAGGTCGGATTGATTTAACGTTTTCCGAGTGTTTGCTTGATGTCAGCTGCAAACTGAGTGTTCAAAGCAAAAGTCGAGTTTAAACGTCGCAAACAGTAAAGCAACGTAGTTTTTTGTTGTTTTGTGTCATTTGTGTAATTTTGTATCTCTTTTGTGTCACTTTGTGTCTCATTTGTCTTGTTTTGTTTCTCATTTTTTGCCATTTTGTATCAAGTTTTAGTTGTTTTGTATCTTGATTTTGTGCTTTGTCAGTGTTTTTGTTGTTTTGTGTCTTTTTTGTGTCTCAGTTTATTTATTTTCTTCTTTACCTTGTGTTTCTTCGTGACACGTTTGTCTCCGATCCGTCGTTTTGTGCCGTTTTCTTGTTTCTGTTGTTTTGTTCGTCCATTTTCTTGTCTTGCTTTTGTTTTCTGCTTTGCTTTGCGTCGCATTGGTCTCGTTTTTTTGTCCCATTTTGTGTCTCGCTTGTGTTGTTTTCCCTCATTTTTTTGTTGTTTTGTGTCTGATTTGTTTTGTTTTATGTCTCGTTTTCCTTTTGCGTCTCATTTAGTTTTCGTCCCCTTGTGACGGTTTTGTCGTCTTGCTGTCGTGTCGTCTTATTTTTGTCACATTGTGTATCATTCTTTTCTTTTGTGCATTGTTTTTAGCATTTTGTCTTGTTTTTTTGTTGTTTTGTGTCTTTTTTGTGTCTCAGTTTATTTATTTTTTTCTTTAGCTTGTGTTTCTTCGTGTCTCCGATCCGTCGTTTTCTTATTTCTGTTGTTTTGTTCGTCCATTTTCTTGTCTTTCGTGTCTCGCTTTTTTTTTTCTGCTTTGCTTTGTGTCGCATTTGTCTCATTTTTTTTGTCTAATTTTTGCCATTTTCTGCTTGTGTTGTTTTCCCTCATTTTTGTGTTGTTTTGTGTCTGATTTGTTTCGTTTTATGTCTCGTTTTCCTTTTGCGTCTCATTTAGTTTTCGTCCCCTTGTGACGGTTTTGTCGTCCTTCTGTCGTGTCTTATTTTTGTCACATTGTGTATCATTTTTTTCCTTTTGTGCATTGTTTTTAGCATTTTGTCTTGTTTTTTTGTTCCACTTTTGTCGCTTTGTGTCTCGTTTTTGTCGTTTTGTATCTTATTTTTAGCCATTTTATTTTTTGCCTGTGTTGTTTTTATCTTCTTTTTTTTTTGTCATTTTGTGTCGTTTGGGTTGTTTTGTTGCTTTCTTTGTCATCTTGTGTCTCGTTTCTGTCATTTTGTTTGCTTTATGTCTCACTTTTGATGCCTTGTCTCTCATTCATCCTGTTTTGTGTCTCGTTTCTGTCGTTTTGTGTCTTGTTTTTGTTATCTGTGGTCTCATTTTTTGCCATTTTGTGTCGTTCTCTGTCAAACAAGTCATCTGCGTGGTTGCGTTCCGTCCAAACAGACGGCCTAAAAGTTTAGATTGCTGTCCTTGAATCATCTTTAAACTACCAATCAGTTGGCTGAAAAGTTGCTGCGACTTCAGCCGACTCCATCCGGCGGTTCGCTCCGGGCCGCCGACACTTTTTCTCTTAATGCCACGACTTCAAACACAACTTTCCAAGCGCAGGCTGAAAAGCTGAACACTTTATTTAAGCACGAGGAGAAGAGGCTGCAGACTCCTCGTGTTCCTTACGTCTCCTCCGTCCATCTGACTTGGCAGACTCGGCCGACAGATCGCGACGCGACCCCGGCTGAGTCCTCCTCGACTTGTCAAACGCCAAATGGCAATCAGACGATCCGTCGATCTGGTGCCTCCACTTCGTTCTGCCCTTTTTTTTTCTCTCCGTCCGTCTCGCCCACTTTGCAGCACACAAGCTTATCCCACTCGCTCCTCGTCGCGCTTCCCGTCTCCGGCGTTTCCTCCCCGACGTCTGGATCTTGAGTCACCTTCTTCTACTTTTCTCAATTCATTTATTTGACTGACACGACCATTTATCAGAAACTGTATTACCAAAGCAGCATTAAAATTCACAGCTATGCAAATTATTTAAAAAGCCAGCGAGGGCATTTTCTCTCCCTCTCTCTCTCTCTCATTTTTTATTATTTTTTTTCTCCCTCTTTCAAAGTGGATAAATCTGCCACGCTGTTGAATATGTTGTTAAATATCCGACGCAGGCTGAATTATGCATTCGCCGCTTTGAGGATTTCATGTAAAGAGGAAATGTGATTGAGCTGTTTGCTCAGTATACATTTATATATTTATTTCTGCATCAGATTCTAACGTTGGCGTCGTCTAATAGTGGCGTTTCAAAGTTAAATTATCATTGTGTTTTCACGGCGTCGCAATTAGAATTCGCTAAACAGTTCCTGCATAACTGATTACAGCTCTGTGGAGTAAAAGATGAGCTTTACTGTCACTAATCTGCCCAATAATGTGCTTTAACTACAGGTTTGTGTCTTGTTTTGTTGTTTTGTCTTATTTTCTGTTGTGTTGAGTCTCCTTTTTGGTTTTTTTTTGTCCTTTTTTGTCTCGTCTGTGTGATTTTGTGTCTCAGTTTTCTTTCGTGTCTCATGTGTGACGTTTTGTTTGCGTCTTTTTGTGACAGTTTTGCCTCCTTTCTGTCATTTTGTGTCTCGTTTTTGTTTCGTCTCTCGTTCATGTCGTCTCTTTGTGACAATTTTCTTTTTTTTTTGTCTTGTTTTGTGCCTTGTTTTTGTTGTTTTGTCTCATATTTTATCCTTTTGTGTCTCATTTGTGTCGTTTTCTATCCTAGTATTTTTGTTTTATGTTTCATTTGTCTTTTGTGTCTCGATCCTGATATTTTTTTGCACCTTTTTGTGACAGTTTTCTCTCCTTTCTGTCATTTTGCGTCTCGTGTTTGTCGCGTCTTATTTTCCATGTGTGTCCGTTTATTGTCGTTTGTGTTTCATTCGTGTTGTTTCGTATCATTTTGAGTCATTTTATGCTTCGTTTGTGTCGTTTCATGTTTTTTTTTGCGATAATTTTGTCTCATTCCTGTAACTTTGTGTCTCATCTTTCTTTTGTGTCTCGTTTGTGAGGTTGTCATCCTGTCTCTTTTAGGTCTTTTCCCCCTTTTTTCATCATTTTGTCTTTTGTTTGTGTAGTTTGTCTTTTTTTTTTTTCATTTCTGTCCCATTTGATTTTATAGTTTTGTCTCCTTTTTAACATTTTGTGTGTTGTTTTTGACAGCTTGTGTCTCATTTTTCTTTTGTGTGGTTTTGCCCTGTTGTGTGTCTTTTTTTT